GTTCTGCGAATGTAATGAGCCCAAGACAACGCGACGACAAGGCAGCCGACGATTGTTAATGTTGTTGTTGAGGAAAAGGCAGGATAGCTCAGGCCTGGGAGAGACTTAATTGCTAACTGCCGTGAGTGACTGTCCAAGGATGCCATGGCATCCTGGACAGCTTGGTTGAGGCGTGATTGCTAGATTGGCAATGCAATCTGGCAAAAACGGTATGAAAGGATTGCGAGAGCTGTCAAGGCACTGAAACACAGTGTCCAGCACATCTTAATGAGAAAGTTCGTCATGGGCCTCCACAGGCGCACAATGGCGCAAGGCCAAGGACATGAATACGAGCATGATAAACATGTTGAGACTCTCAATTTAATGAGATTAGGACAGTAACCAATCGCAATGTTAATTCGGGCAATGTTTGCAGAGAAAAAGCAACGGTAAGTGCCAAAAGGCGAAAAAGGCGAGCGGTAACACACGTAAGCACGCGGGACCCATGAAATGGGACAGAAAAAGGTCACGTCTCATGCCTTGAGAAAAAGAGAAAAAGATAGCCGAACCTGTGATCAAGAATGAACGAAGAAGGAGAGAGAACTCTGAGAGGTTCTTGAATACTAGGAGTCGGCTGTACACGTTTTCAAGGCACAAAGACACACCACTCAGTGTAAATTGTTGATTGATCCCACTCAGTGTAAATTGTTGATTGATCTCACTCAGTGTAAATTGTTGATTGATCTCACTCAGTGTAAATTGTTGATTGATCTCACTCAGTGTAAATTGTTGATTGATCTCACTCAGTGTAAATTGTTGATTGATCTCACTCAGTGTAAATTGTTGATTGATCTCACTCAGTGTAAATTGTTGATTGATCTCACTCAGTGTAAATTGTTGATTGATCTCACTCAGTGTAAATTGTTGATTGATCTCACTCAGTGTAAATTGTTGATTGATCTCACTCAGTGTAAATTGTTGATTGATCTCACTCAGTGTAAATTGTTGATTGATCTCACTCAGTGTAAATTGTTGATTGATCTCACTCAGTGTAAATTGTTGATTGATCTCACTCAGTGTAAATTGTTGATTGATCTCACTCAGTGTAAATTGTTGATTGATCTCACTCAGTGTAAATTGTTGATTGATCTCACTCAGTGTAAATTGTTGATTGATCTCACTCAGTGTAAATTGTTGATTGATCTCACTCAGTGTAAATTGTTGATTGATCTCACTCAGTGTAAATTGTTGATTGATCCCACTCAGTGTAAATTGTTGATTGATCTCACTCAGTGTAAATTGTTGATTGATCTCACTCAGTGTAAATTGTTGATTGATCTCACTCAGTGTAAATTGCTGATTGATCTCACTCAGTGTAAATTGTTGATTGATCTCACTCAGTGTAAATTGTTGATTGATCTCACTCAGTGTAAATTGTTGATTGATCTCACTCAGTGTAAATTGTTGATTGATCTCACTCAGTGTAAATTGTTGATTGATCTCACTCAGTGTAAATTGTTGATTGATCTCACTCAGTGTAAATTGTTGATTGATCTCACTCAGTGTAAATTGTTGATTGATCTCACTCAGTGTAAATTGTTGATTGATCTCACTCAGTGTAAATTGTTGATTGATCCCACTCAGTGTAAATTGTTGATTGATCTCACTCAGTGTAAATTGGTTGATTGATCTCACTCAGTGTAAATTGTTGATTGATCTCACTCAGTGTAAATTGTTGATTGATCTCACTCAGTGTAAATTGTTGATTGATCTCACTCAGTGTAAATTGTTGATTGATCTCACTCAGTGTAAATTGTTGATTGATCTCACTCAGTGTAAATTGTTGATTGATCTCACTCAGTGTAAATGTTGATTGATCTCACTCAGTGTAAATTGTTGATTGATCTCACTCAGTGTAAATTGTTGATTGATCTCACTCAGTGTAAATTGTTGATTGATCTCACTCAGTGTAAATTGTTGATTGATCTCACTCAGTGTAAATTGTCTAGTCGCGTAGGTCGACTCCGCTGTGCGACTTGTATGTTAGCCTGCTTAACTGTGTTTTGTCGTCGTTTGATCTGTTTCCTCACCAAAATCTGTCTATCTGTTTTCTTTTCCTGTTAACAAACCCCTCGTGAACCTCACACAATGAACAGTGACACCGCCGTTCCCCAACCTGAACCAAGGCAGCGAAGCCTGCCTTTAACGGACCACATGGAGAGGTAACACAACGTATACACCAGCACAGTCCCACCAGAACTATGACAGATTTATAAAGAAGTACCCAATGCTTTATCGACACTGTTGCCCGCGCGTTCGCCCGTTTTCATCAAAAAGAAAAAAAACGAGGCTTCTTCTCTCTGCATCCAGCGCATTTGTACCTCTCCCCACAACATCAACCAGAAAATTGACACGACAGCGGAGGGCGGTGATAATGTAAGAACTCAAATCTTCATCTGCTTTGAATTTTCTTTTCGAAGGGAATTCAAAAAGAGAGTGACGTCCTCTGGACAATACAAGTAGGTCGTCATACGCGTGGTTGGAGGGCATTCTTGTCTTCTTCAGTCTTCTGGCGCCGAGTATAGGAGCTACAAGAAAGTGCGTCATAGCCTGGGAGTTTTGTTGATTAGGGTTGTGCCAATTGGGAAAATAAGATTTCTTTTCATTAGGGCGACCAGTATGTTTCGGAATTAACTGTCCGTACAGGGAAGAAAGATATTGCGGTTCGCTTTCTCAGAGAATTCCCATTTTATTTCTATTTTTGTTAGATTGCTGGAAATAAAGATGACAAGAATGAACCCAATGAAAAACTTGAAGGGGGGATCACAACGGAGCACATTTTGGCTCAGACCTGGATTCGCGGAGCCATAGCACAGGATTGGAGGACCAGAAAGAGATCTCGGAATCAGAGGGGCAGAACAACCAGAACAATCTGGAATCAGAAAACCAAAACAGCCAGAACAACAGTACCACGGTATCATCGAGTAGCACGAAATCAAATCAGAATGGCCAGAACAACCCGAACAACCCGAACAACCCGAACAACCCGAACAACCCGAACAACCAGAACAACCCGAACAACCAGAACAACCCGAACAACCAGAACAACCCGAACAACCAGAACAACCCGAACAACCAGAACAACCCGAACAACCCGGACAACAGTACCACGAATCAGAACAATGTAAGATTAGGGAGCCAGAACAATAGCCTCGGTGCAGGAAGCCACAATGTGAGCCATGGGATCCAGAAAAAAACTTCTGGTTCAGAGAAGAAACCCATTTCAACGACGCCCCAGACCACTGTCGTACCAACATTACAGCATTCAATAGGTTCAACAATTCCAAGCCCTACGGAAGACAAGAAGCCCAATAATGCTTCTCAGGGGGGTTCTGGGACAGACAGGAACTCGAATACGAAGCCGATTGCTGACTCGAGAATGCTGGAGAACGGGTTGTGGACTCCAACAATGATTGCAGTGGGGCTGGAGAACCAGGGATCCTACAGCCGCCGGTGGGTCATCGCTGCACCAAAGAAACAAAGTGTGCTTCGATCCTTTGCTAAAATCGTTCAAAAGCGGTTACTGAAGCTCAAGAAGTTTGATTCACACCATGCGGAATGTTGTATAGAGAAACTGGCACCAAGACTTCGAGGGCGGCAAAAATTTGTCAAAGCACTTCTAAAGGAGATTGGTGTACGCGGTCAACACAAAACGATTCCACCAAGACGACTGACTGTTGAAGGTGTGACGCAATGTCTGAAACGGCTGGTGAAGCGCAGAAAGATTACGATTTCAAAAATTCAAAAATGTTTAAAGAGGATTAAAAAAGAACAAAGACGCGTGTCAAAAATCTTTGAGCAAGTCGGACATTGCGAAACCAGCCCCAAGCAGACATCAACGCAAACAAGACAGAGAGGCCCCGCTTAATTATCCGTCCAAAGCTCTGGAGAGCTAGCATTTTTGGCTCGGACTAGGTTCGCGAGATTCCATATCAGTTGTGCGTTTCAGATTTCATATATTGCTGTAGATGTAATGGCTTCATTACTCAAAATGAACGCCATAGAGTCCTTGGTTTGAATTAAGCTCTAGCGTAACGTTAATTCAAAGTTAATAATACGTATAAAAATGAATACAAAATAAAATACGTCTATCATACATAGGGCAACATTGATCGTTATCGTTTTTGCTGCCACGCTTTAGTAAATTCTAACCTAAGAAGGGTCAACTGAGTTAGTCGCCGGCAAGATGTTCCTCATTCGCATCTTTGTCGATAGCACACCTCCAATTTATCCGGACTCGGCAACTACATAAAGGAATTGAGGCTGGATGTCGTGAAGCTCCTGAATTTCGTCCATTTCCCGTAGCCCGATTGTTGTCTTTCATGTCGTCTTTCATGAGTTCTGCTCATCGTCTTTTACGAGTTTTGCTCATCGTCTTTTACGAGTTTTGCTCATCGTCTTTTACGAGTTTTGCTCATCGTCTTTTACGAGTTTTGCTCATGAGTTTTGCTCATCGTCTTTTACGAGTTTTGCTCATCGTCTTTTATGAGTTTTGCTCATCGTCTTTTATGAGTTTTGCTCATCGTCTTTTATGAGTTTTGCTCATCGTCTTTTATGAGTTTTGCTCATCGTCTTGCTTGTCGTTCAACCGCATGCGACATGGGCAGTTCAGAGCAGGTTCAGGAAAAACCGCACCAGATGCGTAACTCGACCGGTCTTCACTTTTCATCAAAAGAAAGAAGCTTTAGGCTCCTTCTTTCCGCATCCAGTGGACTTCTTTCCGCATCCAGTGGACCTCTTTCTGCATCCAGTGGACTTCTTTCCGCATCCAGTGGACCTCTTTCCGCATCCAGTGGACTTCTTTCCGCATCCAGTGGACCTCTTTCCGCATCCAGTGGACTTCTTTCCGCATCCAGTGGACCTCTTTCTGCATCCGAAGAACCTCCCGCAGCCAAAGAACAACTTCTCCCCATCTTTTTTGAAAACGTTGCACCGGTGGTTAGAGAGTTACTGAAGCAGTCATGCGGCAACAGCGACGAAGTATGAACTAGAAATTTTGTTTTACTTGAAATTCACTGTTTGTAGGAAATCCTTCAACTTCTGGAAGTACACCGTGGCCCCGTCGATGAAATTATCCAGAAGTGGACACACTTGGTGGGTTGTGATACTCTGATTATAGAGCAGTTTGCCGCCTTCAGCTCGCGCATGAGAGGTGGCAGAGTTACCTTGAACCTTCAATCTTACTAGAAAAAGAGTTTAATGAGGTGCGCCTTTCATCTCCACCTGACCCTCAGTTTCCGTTTGTTCACTATTGGGGTATTTATCAATTTCGCAGAACACAATTTCAACGATGAGAATAGACCTGAGGAAATTCAAAAGTAAGAAAGGCGAAAAGTGGCAAATAACATAATTATTTCAGAACCCGTCGCGAAGTTTGTACGAATTGCGCGCAAATAGCAATAGAACAACTGCTTCCCCTTCTTGCAGAACTACGCGTATTTCTCGAAGAAGGCACAATCTGTACGAATCGCGCACGAATAGCAATACAACAATTGATTCCCCTTCTTGCAGGACGACGAGTCGATAGGTTCGCCTTCTTACGATCCCTGGGTCTGTACGAATCGCGCACGAATAGCAATACAACAATTGATTCCCCTACTTGCAGGACTTCGAGCCGTATGTTCCGATTTTTGTCGACAATTCCGGGAAGATACTACCTGTACGAAACGCGCACGAATAGCAATACAACAATTGCCTAACTTGCAGGACTTCAAGCCGTTTGTTCCGGATTTTATCGAAGAAATTGTTTTGAAGGAACCGGAAAAAGACCTTAGAGCACGGGATGCGATTCTCAAGGTTTGTTTTATCAGAATTCTCATGTTACTATTATTTCTGCCAGATCGTACGAGACACGTTCCTAAAGGCACTGAATCAGGCGGAGGAGAAATGGAATGCTAGGAAGCAATCGGAACAGAATGCTAGGAAGCAATCGGAACAGAATGCTAGGAAGCAATCGGAACAGAATGCTAGGAAGCAATCGGAACAGAATACTAGGAAGCAATCGGAACAGAATGCTATGAAGCAATCGAAACAGAATACTAGGAAGCCAGAGGAATTATCCTACTCTCTTCGAGACTTGGTTCGGAACTCGCTGGTCAAGTATCTACTGGATTCTTCCGGATGGGTACGGTCTGATCACACCTCCCCCAATAGACTTCTCACTCTTAGGTGCCAATTGGGGTTTCGGACTATGAGGAGGTGAGAGGAGTGTCCATCATGAAAAGTGAAAGTGGTTGATTTTCGATCTTCAGACGATTAAACAAGGATGTGGACTTCTTCTCCAGGTGAGAAGGATCCTCCAATCGGGTTTTTGATGTTCTGTTGTCTCTATCTTTTAGAAAACTATGATCCAACACGTAGGCCTGATTCCATTTTGAGGCAGATACTAGAATGTCGTTTTTTCATTCCATATTCTGTTTTTAGATTCGGACATGTGTTACATCCAAGAACGCCCTCCAGGAATCAGGGAGTCTGGACAACCACAAGGCCCTCCAGGAATCAGGGAGTCTGGACAACCAGAAGGCCCTCCAGCAATCAGGGAGTCTGGACAACCAGAACACCAACCTGGGATCGGGAAGTCCGGACAACCAGAAAAATTCAATATCAAAAAGCCCAAACAATGACCAGGGATTAGGGAGTCCGAACAAACAAAACCCCATTCAGGGATCGAACAACCAGAACACCAACCTGGGATCGGGAAGTCCGGACAACAAGAAAAATTCAATATCAAAAAGCCCAAACAATAACCAGGGATTAGGGAGTCCGAACAAGCAAAACCCCATTCAGGGATCGAACAACCAGAGCACCATCCTGGGATCGGGAAGTCCGGACAACAAGAAAAATTCAATATCAAAAAGCCCAAACAATAACCAGGGATTAGGGAGTCCGAACAAGCAAAACCCCATTCAGGGATCGAACAACCAGAGCACCATCCTGGGATCGGGAAGTCCGGACAACAAGAAAAATTCAATATCAAAAAGCCCAAACAATAACCAGGGATTAGGGAGTCCGAACAAGCAAAACCCCATTCAGGGATCGAACAACCAGAGCACCATCCTGGGATCGGGAAGTCCGGACAACAAGAAAAATTCAATATCAAAAAGCCCAAACAATAACCAGGGATTAGGGAGTCCGAACAAGCAAAACCCCATTCAGGGATCGAACAACCAGAGCACCATCCTGGGATCGGGAAGTCCGGACAACCAGAAAAATTCAATATCAAAAAGCCCAAACAATGACCAGGGATTAGGGAGTCCGAACAAACAAAACCCCATTCAGGGATCGAACAACCAGAACACCAACCTGGGATCGGGAAGTCCGGACAACAAGAAAAATTCAATATCAAAAAGCCCAAACAATAACCAGGGATTAGGGAGTCCGAACAACCAGAACCTCCAGGAATCAGGGAGTCTGGACAACCAGAACACCAACCTGGGATCGGGAAGTCCGGACAACCAGAAAAATTCAACATCAAAAAGCCCAAACAATGACCAGGGATTAGGGAGTTGGTACAAACAGAAATTAGAGAGTCCAAGATGGAAGGATAGATGTCCAGCCTGCAACCATCCACCAGAGATTCTGAACAACCAGAAACCAAGGAGTCCGCGCAACCAAACCCCCAACCAGAAATCAAAGATTCTGGACAACCAGAATAATAGCACCACGGTGTCAAGGAACGGGGCGAAATCAAATCAAAATGGCCAGAACAGCCAGCGGCACATTACCGCGAAGTCATTGAGTACCCCGAAATCAAATCAGAGTGGCCAGAGCAGGCAGAATACCAAAACCGCGGGATCACCGAGTGACGGGAAATCAAATCAGAATGGCCAGAGCAGCCAGAATGCGAAATTAAATCAGAATGGACAGAACAGCCGGAATAACAATATCACGGAATCATCGAGTACCGCGAAATCAAATCAGAATGGCCAGAGCAGCCAGAATGACAATGCCATGAGATCATCGAGTAGCGCGGAATCAAATCAGAATGGCCAGAGCAGGCAGAATACCAAAACCGCGGGATCACCGAGTGACGGGAAATCAAATCAGAATGGCCAGAGCAGCCAGAATGCGAAATTAAATCAGAATGGACAGAACAGCCGGAATAACAATATCACGGGATCATCGAGTACCGCGGAATCAAATCAGAATGGCCAGAGCAGCCAGAATGACAATGCCATGAGATCATCGAGTACCGCGAAATCAAATCAGAATGGACAGAGCAGCCGGAATAACAATATCACGGGATCATCGAGTACCGCGAAATCAAATCAGAATGGCCAGAGCAGCCAGAATGACAATGCCATGAGATCATCGAGTAGCGCGGAATCAAATCAGAATGGCCAGAGCAGGCAGAATACCAAAACCGCGGGATCACCGAGTGACGGGAAATCAAATCAGAATGGCCAGAGCAGCCAGAATGCGAAATTAAATCAGAATGGACAGAACAGCCGGAGTAACAATATCACGGGATCATCGAGTACCGCGGAATCAAATCAGAATGGCCAGAGCAGCCAGAATGACAATGCCATGAGATCATCGAGTAGCGCGGAATCAAATCAGAATGGCCAGAGCAGGCAGAATACCAAAACCGCGGAGTCATTGAGTACCCCGAAATCAAATCAGAATGGCCAGAGCAGGCAGAACACCAAAACCGCGGGATCACCGAGTGACGGGAAATCAAATCAGAATGGCCAGAGCAGCCAGAATGCGAAATTAAATCAGAATGGACAGAACAGCCGGAATAACAATATCACGGGATCACCGAGTGACGGGAAATCAAATCAGAATGGACAGAGCAGACAGAATGACAATGCCACGGAGTCATCGAGTAGCGCGGAATCAAATCAGAATGGACAGAAGAACCGGAATAACAATATCACGGGATCATCGAGTACCGCAGAATCAAATCAGAATGGACAGAGCAGCCGAAATAACAATATCACGGGATCATCGAGTACCGCGAAATCAAATCAGAATGGCCAGAACAGCCGGAATAACAATATCACGGGATCATCGAGTACCGCAGAATCAAATCAGAATGGACAGAGCAGCCGAAATAACAATATCACGGGATCATCGAGTACCGCGAAATCAAATCAGAATGGCCAGAGCAGACAGAATGACAATGCCACGGAGTCATCGAGTAGCGCGGAATCAAATCAGAATGGCCAGAGCAGGCAGAATGACAATGCCATGAGATCATTGAGACGCGCGAAGTCATTCAGTGAATTAAATAAGAATGGCCCGAACAGCCAGAATAACAATGCCATGAGATTGTTGAGACGCGCGAAGTCATTGAGTGAATTAAATCAGAATGGCCCGAACAGCCAGATGCACATTACCGCAGAGTCATTGAGTGCCCCGAAATCAAATCAGAATGGCCAGAGCAGCCAGGATGCGAAATTGAATCAGAATGGACAGAACAGCCGGAATAACAATATCACGGGATTATCGAGAGAATGGCCAGAGCAGCCGAAATAACAATATCACGGGATCATCGAGTACCGCGAAATCAAATCAGAATGGCCAGAGCAGCCGGAATAACAATATCACGGGATCATCGAGTACCGCGAAATCAAATCAGAATGGCCAGAGCCGACAGAATGACAATGCCACGGAGTCATCGAGTAGCGCGGAATCAAATCAGAATGGACAGAACAGCCGGAATAACAATATCACGGGATCATCGAGTACCGCAGAATCAAATCAGAATGGACAGAGCAGCCGAAATAACAATATCACGGGATCATCGAGTACCGCGAAATCAAATCAGAATGGCCAGAGCAGCCGGAATAACAATATCACGGGATTATCGAGTGACGGGAAATCAAATCAGAATGGCCAGAGCAGGCAGAATACCAAAACCGTGGAGTCATTGAGTGCCCCGAAATCAAATCAGAATGGCCAGAGCCGACAGAATGACAATGCCACGGAGTCATCGAGTAGCGCGGAATCAAATCAGAATGGACAGAACAGCCGGAATAACAATACCACGGGATCATCGAGTACCGCAGAATCAAATCAGAATGGACAGAGCAGCCGAAATAACAATATCACGGGATCATCGAGTACCGCGAAATCAAATCAGAATGGCCAGAGCAGCCAGAATGACAATGCCATGAGATCATCGAGTAGCGCGGAATCAAATCAGAATGGCCAGAGCAGGCAGAATACCAAAACCGTGGAGTCATTGAGTGCCCCGAAATCAAATCAGAATGGCCAGAGCCGACAGAATGACAATGCCACGGAGTCATCGAGTAGCGCGGAATCAAATCAGAATGGACAGAACAGCCGGAATAACAATATCACGGGATCATCGAGTACCGCAGAATCAAATCAGAATGGACAGAGCAGCCGAAATAACAATATCACGGGATCATCGAGTACCGCGAAATCAAATCAGAATGGCCAGAGCAGCCAGAATGACAATGCCATGAGATCATCGAGTAGCGCGGAATCAAATCAGAATGGCCAGAGCAGGCAGAATACCAAAACCGTGGAGTCATTGAGTGCCCCGAAATCAAATCAGAATGGCCAGAGCCGACAGAATGACAATGCCACGGAGTCATCGAGTAGCGCGGAATCAAATCAGAATGGACAGAACAGCCGAAATAACAATATCACGGGATCATCGAGTACCGCGAAATCAAATCAGAATGGCCAGAGCAGGCAGAATACCAAAACCGCGGAGTTATTGAGTATCCCGAAATCAAATCAGAATGGCCAGAGCAGCCAGAATGACAATGCCATGAGATCATCGAGTAGCGCGGAATCAAATCAGAATGGCCAGAGCAGGCAGAATACCAAAACCGCGGAGTTATTGAGTATCCCGAAATCAAATCAGAATGGCCAGAGCAGCCAAAATGACAATGCCATGAGATCATCGAGTAGCGCGGAATCAAATCAGAATAGCCAGAGCAGGCAGAATACCAAAACCGCGGAGTTATTGAGTATCCCGAAATCAAATCAGAATGGCCAGAGCAGCCAGAATGCGAAATTAAATCAGAATGGACAGAACAGCCGGAATAACAATATCACGGGATCATCGAGTACCGCGAAATCAAATCAGAATGGCCAGAGCAGCCGGAATAACAATATCACGGGATCATCGAGTACCGCGAAATCAAATCAGAATGGCCAGAGCAGCCAGAATGACAATGCCATGAGATCATCGAGTACCGCGAAATCAAATCAGAATGGCCAGAGCAGCCGGAATAACAATATCACGGGATCATCGAGTACCGCGAAATCAAATCAGAATGGCCAGAGCAGCCAGAATGACAATGCCATGAGATCATCGAGTAGCGCGGAATCAAATCAGAATGGCCAGAGCAGGCAGAATACCAAAACCGCGGGATCATCGAGTACCGCGAAATCAAATCAGAATGTCCAGAGCAGCCAGAATGCGAAATTAAATCAGAATGGCCCGAACAGCCAGATGCACATTACCGCAGAGTCATTGAGTGCCCCGAAATCAAATCAGAATGGCCAGAGCAGCCAGGATGCGAAATTGAATCAGAATGGACAGAACAGCCGGAATAACAATATCACGGGATTATCGAGTGGTGCGAAATCAAATCAGAACAATAGCCTCGGCCTCGGTGCAGGAAGCCACAATGTGAGCCGTGGGATCCAGAAAACAACTTCTGGTTCAGGGACGAAACTCATTTCAACGACGACCCAAAGCACTGTCGTACCAACATTACAGCATTCAACAATAATAGGTTCAACAATTCCAAGCCCTACGGAAGACAAGAAGCCCAATAATGCTTCTCTGGGGGGTTCTGGGACAGACGGGAACTTGAATACGAAGCCGATTGCTGATTCGAGAATGCCAGAGAACGGGTTGTGGGCTCCAACAATGATTGCAGTGGGGATGGAGAACCAGAGATCCTCTCGCCACCGACGGATCATCGCTGCACCAAAGCAACGAAGTGTGCTTCGCTCTTTCGCTAAAATCGTTCAAAAGCGGTTACTGAAGCTCGAGAAGTTTGATTCATATCATGTGGAATGTTGTATAAAGAAACTGGCACCAAGACTTCGCGGGCGGCAAAAATTTGTCAAAACACTTCTAAAGGAAATCGGTGTACGCGGTCGACACGAAACGGTTCCACCAAGACGAGTGACTGTTGAAGGTGTGACGCAATGTCTGAAACGCCTGGTGAAGCGCAGAAAGATTACGATTTCAAATATTCAAAAATGTTTAAAGAGGATTAAAAAGAAAGGGAACAGAACAAAGACGCGCGGTAAAAAATCTTTGAGCAAGTCAAACATTGCAAGAGCACCAAGCGGACATCAACGCAAACAAGACCTCGGCAGAGAGGCCCCGCTTAATTATCCGTCCAAAGCTCTGGAGAGCTAGCATTTTTGGCTTCGGGGTAATTGCGCTAGATTGAGATTCCTCCATTTTCTTGCTCTGCCCCTAACGCACCTCCATGTGCTTTGAAAAAGTTTAGTGCCTGGTGTTTCTTGTTTTTCGTTTCAACTAGTGGCCAGACAAGCGGGGGAAAGTATTTTTCAATCAATGTGCATAGATGGCCATCAGGATACTCCCAACGGCAATCCTGAACGCTTCGTGGAAGCAAGGACGACACAGATCAAAAAGAAAGGACAACGAAATTGGATGGATCAATGGTCTTGGAGATCAAGCCGAGATATGCAAGACCTGCGGCAACCAAAGATCCAATGGGGCGTAGAGTCGGAACGCAAATAATGCGTTGGCTAAGAGAGGATAAAGCTTTAGTTACTTTTTTATCCCATTTATTGTTCATCAAACAAAAGGCTCCAATCTTCAGACGGGTAGGCTTCTGAGGAAGTTAAGGAAACCGAAATGCGCCATAATGGGAGTAATATGGACACTTCTGGTATGACATCCTGACAGGGGCAAATTTAGTCCCATGATATCAGTCCACTTCTGCGTTTACATAAATTGGCAAGCACAAGAAACGATTTGCGTCATCATTGATTCAACGAGATTTTTTGGCGATTTCTTCACCAATGAAGATAAAATGGTTCCCCGCAATAGTTCCAGTCACGAGTTCTCTCAAATATGTTCTAATGGACAACACTGGATCAGCTATGATGATATTGTTAAAGGGTGTCACTCTCTGTGTAAGCCGACTGACTGGCATCCCGACTTGGGGCAAGAGGTTCACCTTTCGTCAAAATTGGAAAACGCTGCATGATGCTTTCCCTCTTCAACACTTTGAAACTGCGATTCAATAGCGTAACAGGTTGACACAAGCACATCAGTGTGGAATTCATAGATCAGTTTGTTGAAGCCTGAGGAAACTCTGGTGGAAGCTCCTCGCTTCATGGAACAGCTTCCAGTGCAGAATCTACTTGTTACGGACAAAAGGACAGACACGCACAACGATTTGAGTGTCTCCTGAAGGAATCTTAACAATCGCCACCGTTTTGGTCAGAAGAGCATCAGTGAGATGATCAACAACAGCAGTCTACGTAGAATTCTCTTCAAAATAGTAAGCATGAAGTTCTTCTTCACTCAGCAGCAGACACTCACTACGTACTTGTTCCGGCTAAAAATCACGTTCAATGGAAGGCTGTCGTCCTCCCCGACCACACCAGCACTTTTCGTCGGCAAGATGTTCTTTCTCATTCGCATCTTTGTCTCATTCGCATCTTTGTCGATATTTAGCACACCTCCAATTTATCTGACAGTACCGGACTCGGCAACTCGGTAAGAAATTGGGGCTGGATGTTGTTGAAGCAGGAATCTATTTCTGTTGTTTGAAATTGGGAGCGTCAATTGTTGTGAAGCTCCTCAATTTCGTGCAGAAACGGCGTTTGCAATAGCGCAACAAATGGCATCATGACGCTTAGGTGTACAATACGTTTGCTAGATCTTCTGCCTTGTGTCGTATCTCGGTGCTTCAGTGGCCTCTGTCCCATGCACGTCTAAACTCGCGGTCGTCAAACGCAACACGCAAGTTCAGTCACGTCTGGGCGGTCGTAGTCCCCGATCCCCAAATAAGTCACCTTGTCCTCACTTAATCCCGGGTTTTTAATTAGTTGTGCTCCGTGGACGTTAGTGCGACTGAATAACGTCAATGTAAACCAATGGCACACCGATTATTAGCGCTCACAATCTGCGTTACTATCAAACTTCAGTTCTGACGTGCTGGAATCAGAGTTGGGTAGAAATTTCACCAAGAGATATTCGATATTAAATCCCAATTGAGAAAGACTGAAGACAGGTTTCCTTCAACAATGGGAAACACATAATAGTCGCTTTATGTTGAAATGGTGAACCAAAGATAACTCATTACAGCATAGCAGAACAATAATCCTGCCATGTCCCAATTATCCTGCCATGTCCCAATTATCCTGCCATGTCCCAATTATCCTGCCATGTCCCAATTATCCTGCCATGTTCTTGTTGCTTACATCAAACGAGATTATAAGTTACATCAATCACAAAATTGCTGGCACCTCTCCCGAAATTCTCAGTGAAGCAACAAGTTGTTTTCTAGATCGAGGTGGTGCCTACTGGCATACAAACTCACAGTCCTGATCAAGGAAAAACTGCATGTAAATCCTCCGTTCCACTATCCTTTAGTTGGACTGAGCTTTCGATTTCTTGCACTTCGCTGTTCTACGGGGAATCACATTGGGTGGCTGGGTGGCTCGTGAATGGATTGCTTAAAGGACAAAATATTTACGAAAATCAGAAACAGACTGGCTTCGTTCAAGATGGCTCATTCGCAGAGTACTTCATAGCGGATGAGAGATTTGCTGCAAAGTGAGGATCGCTGGGCATCCGAAATTTTATTGCTTTGCTGCAGAATTCCGAGTGGCGTGAGCGATGCAGAAGCAGCCCCAGTTCTCTGTGCTGGAGTAACTTCCTATAAGCCTTGCGCATGGCCAATGCTCCAGCCGGAGCTCGCATTGTAATTGCTGGTGCTTGTGGTGGTTTAGGCCATCTGGCTATTCAATATGCTAAAGCCATGGGTTATGGAGTCATTGCTCTCGATGTTTTTGACGAAGCTAAAGAAGTCATGACCAAAGAGCTTGGTGCCGATTTTATCATCAATCTTGGAGGCGAGAAAAAGTCAGTTGTCGAAAAGCTCAATTCCATTGAACCGAAAAAGCCAATTGCGGCTTCGGTCATTTTTGCTCCGGCGCCCCAAGCAGTCCCGGATGCCATCGAGTATGTGTCTCCTGGAGCAACTATTGTTACCGTAGCACTTCCATCTGGTCACTTCAAAATCGATGTCGTCCAGTTCATCCTGAAGGAACTTCGCCTCCAGGGTTCAATTGTGGGTACGCCACGAGACCTTGAAAAAGCGTTCCGCTATGTTGCTGAAGGAAAGGTCAAGGCTCATGTAGCTGAGAAACCGTTCAGCTGTGCAAACGACATATTGAAAGATTTGGAGGAAGGAAAAATCAGAGGCCGTGCTGTGCTTCGTGTGGCTGAAAACTAGAGCAATCGTCTCAGTTGTTTTGTTTCCGATTTTTTCGTTGAGTAATTTTCTGTTTCTTGATTTTTCACATAAATTTTGTTCGTCCAATTAAAAATTCGGTAAATTCAGAAAGTTACGATACGCTAGAGACGCATGCGTCTTGTTGGATTGTACGGATGGAATAATCCACCCCACTGTCTATCTTGTTTTTTGTGTCTATCGTGAGCATGCAAGCCTACCAAGTTACCGAGCACGGAAAACCTCTTGAGCGTAAGAGTGGTGCTTGTAAAGCTTCTTCCAACTCTGTTTTCAGGGCGCCAGGTCGCAAAACCAATTCCCACTGGACATCAAGTTTTGGCCAAAACAACCGTTTCAGGTGTCTGCCACACAGATGTTCATGTCGCAGCTGGTGATTGGGGCACCTTGAAGCTTCCATTGACGCCGGGTCATGAAGGCGTCGGGGTTGTTGAGGCTGTTGGCTCCGAAGTGACCACAATAAAAATCGGGGACCGGATTGGGGTTGCGTGGCTGGGGAGTGCATGGATTGCTATCTTTGCAAAGACGGTCGAGAGAACATGTGCGAAAATCAGAAACAGACTGGTTTCGTTCAAGATGGCTCATTCGCAGAGTACTTTATAGCGGATGAGAGATTTGCTGCAAAGTGAGGAGCTCTGGGCATCCAAAATTTTATTGCTTTGCTGCAGAATTCCGAGTGGCGTGAGCGATGCAGAAGCAGCGCCAGTTCTCTGTGCTGGAGTAACTTCTATAAAGCCTTGCGCATGGCCAATGCTCCAGCCGGAGCTCGCATTGTAATTGCTGGTGCTTGTGGTGGTTTAGGCCATCTGGCTATTCAATATGCTAAAGCCATGGGTTATGAAGTCATTGCTCTCGATGTTTTTGACGAAGCTAAAGAAGTCATGACCAAAGAGCTTGGTGCCGATTTTATCATCAATCTTGGAGGCGAGAAAAAGTCAGTTGTCGAAAAGCTCAATTCCATTGAACCGAAAAAGCCAATTGCGGCTTCGGTCATTTTTGCTCCGGCGCCCCAAGCAGTCCCGGATGCCATCGAATATGTGTCTCCTGGAGCAACTATTGTTACCGTAGCACTTCCATCTGGTCACTTCAAAATCGATGTCGTCCAGTTCATCCTGAAGGAACTTCGCCTCCAGGGTTCAATTGTGGGTACGCCACGAGACCTTGAAAAAGCGTTCCGCTATGTTGCTGAAGGAAAGGTCAAGGCTCATGTAGCTGAGAAACCGTTCAGCTGTGCAAACGACATATTGAAAGATTTGGAGGAAGGAAAAATCAGAGGCCGTGCTGTGCTTCGTGTGGCTGAAAACTAGAGCAATCGTCTCAGTTGTTTTGTTTCCGATTTTTTCGTTGAGTAATTTTCTGTTTCTTGATTTTTCACATAAATTTTGTTCGTCCAATTAAAAATTCGGTAAATTCAGAAAGTTACGATACGCTAGAGACGCATGCGTCTTGTTGGATTGTACGGACTGGAATAATCCACCCCACTGTCTATCTTGTTTTTTGTGTCTATCGTGAGCATGCAAGCCTACCAAGTTACCGAGCACGGAAAACCTCTTGAGCGTAAGAGTGGTGCTTGTAAAGCTTCTTCCAACTCTGTTTTCAGGGCGCCAGGTCGCAAAACCAATTCCCACTGGACATCAAGTTTTGGCCAAAACAACCGTTTCAGGTGTCTGCCACACAGATGTTCATGTCGCAGCTGGTGATTGGGGCACCTTGAAGCTTCCATTGACGCCGGGTCATGAAGGCGTCGGGTTGTTGAGGCTGTTGGCTCCGAAGTGACCACAATAAAAATCGGGGACCGGATTGGGGTTGCGTGGCTGGGGGAGTTCGTGATTGCTATCTTTGCAAAGACGGTCGAGAGAACATGTGCGAAAATCAGAAACAGACTGGTTTCGTTCAAGATGGCTCATTCGCAGAGTACTTTATAGCGGATGAGAGATTTGCTGCAAAGTGAGGAGCTCTGGGCATCCCAAAATTTTATTGCTTTGCTGCAGAATTCCGAGTGGCGTGAGCGATGCAGAAGCAGCGCCAGTTCTCTGTGCTGGAGTAACTTCCTATAAAGCCTTGCGCATGGCCAATGCTCCAGCCGGAGCTCGCATTGTGATTGCTGGTGCTTGTGGTGGTTTAGGCCATCTGGCTATTCAATATGCTAAAGCCCATGGGTTATGAAGTCATTGCTCTCGATGTTTTTGACGAAGCTAAAGAAGTCATGACCAAAGAGCTTGGTGCCGATTTTATCATCAATCTTGGAGGCGAGAAAAAGTCAGTTGTCGAAAAGCTCAATTCCATTGAACCGAAAAAGCCAATTGCGGCTTCGGTCATTTTTGCTCCGGCGCTCCAAGCAGTCTCGGATGCCATCGAATATGTGTCTCCTGGAGCAACTATTGTTACCGTAGCACTTCCATCTGGTCACTTCAAAATCGATGTCGTCCAGCTCATCCTGAAGGAACTTCGCCTCCAGGGTTCAATTGTGGGTACGCCACGAGACCTTGAAAAAGCGTTCCGCTATGTTGCTGAAGGAAAGGTCAAGGCTCATGTAGCTGAGAAACCGTTCAGCTGTGCAAACGACATATTGAAAGATTTGGAGGAAGGAAAAATCAGAGGCCGTGCTGTGCTTCGTGTGGCTGAAAACTAGAGCAATCGTCTCAGTTGTTTTGTTTCCGATTTTTTCGTTGAGTAATTTTCTGTTTCTTGATTTTTCACATAAATTTTGTTCGTCCAATTAAAAATTCGGTAAATTCAGAAAGTTACGATACGCTAGAGACGCATGCGTCTTGTTGGATTGTACGGACTGGAATAATCCACCCCACTGTCTATCTTGTTTTTTGTGTCTATCGTGAGCATGCAAGCCTACCAAGTTACCGATCTCGGAAAACCTCTTGAGCGTAAGAGTGGTGCTTGTAAAGCTTCTTCCAACTCTGTTTTCAGGGCGCCAGGTCGCAAAACCAATTCCCACTGGACATCAAGTTTTGGCCAAAACAACCGTTTCAGGTGTCTGCCACACAGATGTTCATGTCGCAGCTGGTGATTGGGGCACCTTGAAGCTTCCTTTGACGCCGGGTCATGAAGGCGTCGGGGTTGTTGAGGCTGTTGGCTCCGAAGTGACCACAATAAAAATCGGGGACCGGATTGGGGTTGCGTGGCTGGGGAGTTCGTGATTGCTATCTTTGCAAAGACGGTCGAGAGAACATGTGCGAAAATCAGAAACAGACTGGTTTCGTTCAAGATGGCTCATTCGCAGAGTACTTTATAGCGGATGAGAGATTTGCTGCAAAGTGAGGAGCTCTGGGCATCCAAAATTTTATTGCTTTGCTGCAGAATTCCGAGTGGCGTGAGCGATGCAGAAGCAGCGCCAGTTCTCTGTGCTGGAGTAACTTCCTATAAAGCCTTGCGCATGGCCAATGCTCCAGCCGGAGCTCGCATTGTGATTGCTGGTGCTTGTGGTGGTTTAGGCCATCTGGCTATTCAATATGCTAAAGCCATGGGTTATGAAGTCATTGCTCTCGATGTTTTTGACGAAGCTAAAGAAGTCATGACCAAAGAGCTTGGTGCCGATTTTATCATCAATCTTGGAGGCGAGAAAAAGTCAGTTGTCGAAAAGCTCAATTCCATTGAACCGAAAAAGCCAATTGCGGCTTCGGTCATTTTTGCTCCGGCGCTCCAAGCAGTCTCGGATGCCATCGAATATGTGTCTCCTGGAGCAACTATTGTTACCGTAGCACTTCCATCTGGTCACTTCAAAATCGATGTCGTCCAGCTCATCCTGAAGGAACTTCGCCTCCAGGGTTCAATTGTGGGTACGCCACGAGACCTTGAAAAAGCGTTCCGCTATGTTGCTGAAGGAAAGGTCAAGGCTCATGTAGCTGAGAAACCGTTCAGCTGTGCAAACGACATATTGAAAGATTTGGAGGAAGGAAAAATCAGAGGCCGTGCTGTGCTTCGTGTGGCTGAAAACTAGAGCAATCGTCTCAGTTGTTTTGTTTCCGATTTTTTCGTTGAGTAATTTTCTGTTTCTTGATTTTTCACATAAATTTTGTTCGTCCAATTAAAAATTCGGTAAATTCAGAAAGTTACGATACGCTAGAGACGCATGCGTCTTGTTGGATTGTACGGAATGGAATAATCCACCCCACTGTCTATCTTGTTTTTTGTGTCTATCGTGAGCATGCAAGCCTACCAAGTTACCGAGCACGGAAAACCTCTTGAGCGTAAGAGTGGTGCTTGTAAAGCTTCTTCCAACTCTGTTTTCAGGGCGCCAGGTCGCAAAACCAATTCCCACTGGACATCAAGTTTTGGCCAAAACAACCGTTTCAGGTGTCTGCCACACAGATGTTCATGTCGCAGCTGGTGATTGGGGCACCTTGAAGCTTCCATTGACGCCGGGTCATGAAGGCGTCGGGGTTGTTGAGGCTGTTGGCTCCGAAGTGACCACAATAAAAATCGGGGACCGGATTGGGGTTGCGTGGCTGGGGAGTTCGTGCATGGATTGCTATCTTTGCAAAGACGGTCGAGAGAACATGTGCGAAAATCAGAAACAGACTGGTTTCGTTCAAGATGGCTCATTCGCAGAGTACTTTATAGCGGATGAGAGATTTGCTGCAAAGTGAGGAGCTCTGGGCATCCAAAATTTTATTGCTTTGCTGCAGAATTCCGAGTGGCGTGAGCGATGCAGAAGCAGCGCCAGTTCTCTGTGCTGGAGTAACTTCCTATAAAGCCTTGCGCATGGCCAATGCTCCAGCCGGAGCTCGCATTGTAATTGCTGGTGCTTGTGGTGGTTTAGGCCATCTGGCTATTCAATATGCTAAAGCCATGGGTTATGAAGTCATTGCTCTCGATGTTTTTGACGAAGCTAAAGAAGTCATGACCAAAGAGCTTGGTGCCGATTTTATCATCAATCTTGGGAGGCGAGAAAAAGTCAGTTGTCGAAAAGCTCAATTCCATTGAACCGAAAAAGCCAATTGCGGCTTCGGTCATTTTTGCTCCGGCGCCCCAAGCAGTCCCGGATGCCATCGAATATGTGTCTCCTGGAGCAACTATTGTTACCGTAGCACTTCCATCTGGTCACTTCAAAATCGATGTCGTCCAGTTCATCCTGAAGGAACTTCGCCTCCAGGGTTCAATTGTGGGTACGCCACGAGACCTTGAAAAAGCGTTCCGCTATGTTGCTGAAGGAAAGGTCAAGGCTCATGTAGCTGAGAAACCGTTCAGCTGTGCAAACGACATATTGAAAGATTTGGAGGAAGGAAAAATCAGAGGCCGTGCTGTGCTTCGTGTGGCTGAAAACTAGAGCAATCGTCTCAGTTGTTTTGTTTCCGATTTTTTCGTTGAGTAATTTTCTGTTTCTTGATTTTTCACATAAATTTTGTTCGTCCAATTAAAAATTCGGTAAATTCAGAAAGTTACGATACGCTAGAGACGCATGCGTCTTGTTGGATTGTACGGACTGGAATAATCCACCCCACTGTCTATCTTGTTTTTTGTGTCTATCGTGAGCATGCAAGCCTACCAAGTTACCGAGCACGGAAAACCTCTTGAGCGTAAGAGTGGTGCTTGTAAAGCTTCTTCCAACTCTGTTTTCAGGGCGCCAGGTCGCAAAACCAATTCCCACTGGACATCAAGTTTTGGCCAAAACAACCGTTTCAGGTGTCTGCCACACAGATGTTCATGTCGCAGCTGGTGATTGGGGCACCTTGAAGCTTCCATTGACGCCGGGTCATGAAGGCGTCGGGGTTGTTGAGGCTGTTGGCTCCGAAGTGACCACAATAAAAATCGGGGACCGGATTGGGGTTGCGTGGCTGGGGAGTTCGTGATTGCTATCTTTGCAAAGACGGTCGAGAGAACATGTGCGAAAATCAGAAACAGACTGGTTTCGTTCAAGATGGCTCATTCGCAGAGTACTTTATAGCGGATGAGAGATTTGCTGCAAAGTGAGGAGCTCTGGGCATCCAAAATTTTATTGCTTTGCTGCAGAATTCCGAGTGGCGTGAGCGATGCAGAAGCAGCGCCAGTTCTCTGTGCTGGAGTAACTTCCTATAAAGCCTTGCGCATGGCCAATGCTCCAGCCGGAGCTCGCATTGTGATTGCTGGTGCTTGTGGTGGTTTAGGCCATCTGGCTATTCAATATGCTAAAGCCATGGGTTATGAAGTCATTGCTCTCGATGTTTTTGACGAAGCTAAAGAAGTCATGACCAAAGAGCTTGGTGCCGATTTTATCATCAATCTTGGAGGCGAGAAAAAGTCAGTTGT